TTTATGGTTGGAGGGGGTTATCACAACATAAGGAATTATATTAATGAGTCGCAACATCAGGAAGGCTGAGAATCACTGCTTTAAGTTAAACAAGCGGCCATCCAGCAGGGAAGCAACAAAGCCACATAGGAGGCATACAGCCTGTGTGATCACGAGGTGTTAACAGGATCAGGTATCTGAAGATCAAAAAACAAACAATTATATTGATGTGAAGGTACGGGGTCAGAGTGAAGACCTAGAGCCCAACTGGAGACAACTGTACACTCCCTCACAATTGTCATATGGAAAGGATGATTCATCCAGGGTGCCATATGGCACCAACAAAACATACAAGCCCCGAGTTCTTTAATGCTTCCCCATTATCATGACGCCAGTTCTATCTCACAAATCCTGTTAGACCAGAATATGTACGGTCATAAAGATAAGTGCTTTCAACATGTCCAGGACAGATAAACCCCTCAGAAACAGTAACAGGAATAAGAGGAGTAGTGTTACTAGAAAGGTACAGGGACTGATAGCAATGATGGATGTATAACACCCCCCCACACACACAAGGTGACTAATAACAGAAATGTGGGTGAAGGGATACAGTGGATGGTGTAAGATATGAAAAAATAATAAGATATCATTTTCTAAGGGTTCACGAGGGCGGGAGGGTGGGGGGGATGAGGATGGGATATCAAAGGGCTCAAGTAGAAAGATAATGTCTTTAAAATGATGATGGCAACAGATGTACAAGTTCGCTTGATATAACTGATTTATGGATTGTTATAATATCTGTAAGAGCTCCAGGTAAAATGATTTTTAAAATAAATTAAGTAATAAAAAAATAATTTTTCATGAAACCTTTGTGCCACCTAGTCACACATATACTGGGTTGCAATATAAAATGTTTTCCTTAATAGAGATAACAAAAGGGTAGGGGGAAGTGAGGGTAAGGTGGAGAGGGAGGGGGGCACCGACTGCAATGTATGGCACATAACCACACTCCCCCACATAGGGGGAAGAACAACAGAAACCAGAGGGGAAGGGAGACAACGGTTGGTGTGAGATTTGAGAATAATTAACAATCTACAATCTATCAGGGGACCACCAGGGTGGGGGGCAGGGAGGAGGGATGGGAAAAAGAGGAGCTGATCCCAAGGGCTCAATGGAAAGTAAACATCTAGAAAAAACGATGGAATTATGTGCGAATACGTCAGATATAATTGATGTATGGATTGTAACAAGAGTTGTAAGAGCCCCCAATAAAATTATTATTTAAAAAAAAAATCACTTCCCAGCCTTTTGGCTAAGATCAAGTATAGTATCTGTTCTAATCCGTTTAATAAAATGTTTCTTACGTCCCAAAAGTCTGAAAGCCATCTTACAGTCACTGTCTGTGCAGGGTGGGAGAACGCATTTGAAAGAGAAAGACCCAAAGGCATGCACACCAACTGGGAAGCTTGGTATGGGAGTCCAGATAAGACAAAGGTCATAAATCAAAGCAGTTGCAACATGAGGGATAAAGAAGGAATAGCTTCAGCTAACACGTAAGAAGCCAAAACCCTGACAGGAACTGTCTGCATGAATATTAGGAGAGGAAGATAAGAGTTTAGGATAACTCCCAGATTTCTAGCCTCAATTGTTTTGGGGCTTGCCTGCCTCACCAGAAGAGCCTCTCTCACTCTGTTCTACTCTTCCAGGCAAACACAGATGCCTTCT